TCTAGCAGTCCACAGGACAGGATTCCCCAGAGCACGGAGTCTAAGCCCCAGTCTGCTTGTTCACCAGGGCCCCTGATGGTGGGGATGGACTTGGAGCAGACAGGAACCAGGTCGCGGCCCCTGAGTACACCTGCCTGTGGTAGAGGAATCCGCCAGAGGTATATGCAGGTAGAGAGCCTGACATGAAGAGGCAGAAGGTGTGAGCAGGGATGGCTGGATCCATGCAGGATGGATGGATGGATGACAGAGTAATGAGTGTGGTCAAACGGGCCGGGTCGGTAACAGTGGGGTCAGCGTAGCACTAGGCAGCAGGCAAAGAGTAGTCAGGTCACTCACCGGGGTGGTAACAGGAATTCAGATCAGATTAGGGATGTCCAGGAGAGTAGTCAAACGAGCCAGGGGTCAGAGCAGGAGAAGTCAGCAGAGGTCAGGATCAGGCAGGGTCAGCAACAAATCAAATGGCAGATATACAGGAACAGGAACACAGGATACAAGACCATACAGCAATGAGAGTCTGTGCAGGGCAGGTTTAAATAGTCCGCCCTGCCCTGCCATTGGTGCCAGGTGAGCGTCCGCGATCGAGAGTGCGAATGCGCGGCCGCCACCGCCCAGGTCCCAGCGCCCGCCGGCTAGAACGAATCGGCACTCCGCGCATGCGCAGAACCGCTCGTCGCCGCGATCCCTGACCTTGTTTTCTCCCGTCTTTGCACTCCCTACAACCTCACAAACACCCCCTTTCCTCTCTCTGATCACAATCTCATCACCTTCACAGTGTCCTCATCGTCAAACATTTATCCCTCCAAGCAGCAAACAATTACCCGCAGAAACCTTCACAACTTTAACCCTTCTCTTTTCTACTCTGCAACTGACCAGCTCTATGACAGAATCTCTCCCTTGTCCTACCCTGACCTGGCCACTGCTGTCTACAACAGTTCACTTTCATCCGCATTAGACTCACTTTCTCCTCTAACAACACGAAGCATCAGGCCCCGACCATTACAACTTTGGCAGACTGACGACACCAGAAATCTTAAGCGACATAGTTGTGCGCTGGAGCGATTGTGGCATAAAACCAAATCTCAACAAGCATTCACCCTATATAAATCTGCTTTCTTAACATACAATTCCTCCCTTCACGCTGCCTCCTCCTCTTCACTCCCTCTTTCTGTATGGGTCCCTCAAGGTTCTATCCTTGGACCCCTTCTCCATCTACACCTCCTCCCTTGTTCACTTGATAAACTCCCATGGCTTTAAGTACCATCTCTATGCTGATGACACACAAATCTATCTTTCTACCCCTCACCTCACCCCTTCAGTTTCCTCTCGCATTACTAACCTACTAAGTGACATATCGGCATGGATGTCACTCCACTTCCTCAAAATTCAATCTTTCCAAAACTGAGCTCTTAGTATTCTCCCAGCCTGTTCCCCCTCCCCTGACTTCTCCATCAAGATCAATAACACAATCATCAGTCCCTCTCCTCATGCCAGGGTACTAGGTGTAATCCTAGACTCCCATCTGTCCTTTCAGTCCCAAATCCAATCACTGTCCAAATCTTGTAGACTTTACCTCCACAACATCTCCAAGATACGGTCGTTCCTAACCTCGGAAACCACTAAGCAACTTATTCACTCCCTTGTTATATCTCGCCTTGACTATTGTAACTCCCTCCTCATTGGCCTACCTCAATGCAGGCTATCCCCTCTTCAGTGTATCATGAATGCTGCTGCCAGACTCATCCACCTTACTAACCGTTCTGTATCTGCCACCCCTCTCTACCAATCCCTCCACTGGCTTCCCATTGCCCAACGGATAAAATTCAAAACATTAACAATAACATATAAAGCCATTTATAACTCTGCCCCAAATTACATCACCGATCTTGTCTCCAAATACCACCCAAACCATACTCTCCGCTCCTCGTAAGACCTCCTACTCTCTAGCTCCCTTGTCTTCTCCTCCCATGCTTGTCTGCAGGACTTCTCCAGAGCTTCCCCCATCCTCTGGAACTCTCTACCCCAATTTATCAAACTATCGCCTACTCTGCTCGCGTTTAGGCGATCTCTGAAAACCTATCTCTTCAGGAAAGCCTATACTGCCCTCAGCTAATAATAGAATCTTCTACTCTTCCAACCAGTCCATCCCCCATAGTTACTACCTTTTGTACTATTAGCCCCTCCCTCCTAGATTGTAAGCTCCAAGGAGCAGGGCGCTCCTATCCCTCTTGTATTGAACTGTATTGTTGCTGTATTGTCTCCCATTATATTGTAAAACGCTGAGCAAACTGATGCCGCTATATAAATCCTGTATAATAATAATAATATTATTATTGTTATTAATTTACAGGAATTTTATAGCTCCAACAGTTTGTGCAGAGCTTTACAATATAATGGGGGACAGTACAATTACAACACAGTTCAAAACAGAAGGAATAGAAGGGCTCTGCTCATGGAGCTTACAATCTAAAGGGAGGGGGAGATGGTACAAAAGGTAATAGCTGCAGAGGGTGATCTGATGGAAGTGATTCAAGTACAGTTTTTAGGTGGAGGAGGTGAAGACTTTCCTGAAAAAGTGAGTTTTCAAGGATCACATTGGAGTAGGGGGTTGCAGAGGATGGAAGAGGTTCTGGAAAAGTCCTGGAAGCTGGCATGGAAGGAGGTGCCAAGGGAGCTAGAGAGCAAGATGTCTTGGGAGGAGCGGAGAGGCCAATTTGTAGATGAGGTTGTTGATATAGCTGGGGGCAGTGTTGTGAATGGCTTTGTACGCTGTGGTTAATATTTTGAATTTTGACTAGTGGAAGTCAGTGAAGGGATTGGCAGAGAGGGGCAGCAGTCATGGATTGGTTAGTAAGGTGTAATCAGGCATACAGTAAAATTGCCTCTGTCGATGTGACATCCAGAATATGCAGAATGAAATTGAACAAAATAAACAAAAACACCTCAGTACCTGATACATGATGACCTCAAATTGCATCATGCGTCAAACCAAACTAGAATTAACATAACAACACTACAAAGAACTACTTAATGCCAATAGCGTTAATAGCCAGTATAATTTGAGTCGCAATGTTTGCTGCATGACTGTTCAGAGACTTCTGGAGTTTAAAAATCTTAGGGCTTTGTATGCATCGTTGGAAGGCAATTGAAAGCTCAAAGTTGTTTTACCGTAATATGACAGTAATGTGACTGCTTCCTCAAGCATAAAAGGTGAAATGTTGTGAAAAGCGACTGGTGTACCAAAAGTGTCACCTTCATTCACTGTATAATAGCAATGATGAGTAACTGTCCAATTGTATCTAGCTGACCAAGCAAAAAGACTATATGCCAAGTAACTTAAAAGAGATCTAAAAAAAATTATGCAGTGACTTCAACTAATTCATGCAGGTTGTAATACTTAAATTAATACTTGTATTGACATGCAACAAGTTAACACAATGTCAGCAAAGTTATTAGCTAGCTCACAAAATTATTTGGCACATATCACAGGCTAGAAAATTATCTAAACTATCTATAAATGTAAGTGTAACAGTTCAAGGGTACATATGACTAATTTCAAGTGTTTTACCAATATTGGGTCCTCACTGTAACTCACTGTTTAATCTTGCCAGTTTGTTGCTTCAGTTCCCAAGCAAGCAGGATATGCCTTGGAGTATGCCAAGTTGGCAAGCAAGAGTCTCCATTTGCAGCTGGGACTCTGTGTGAAAGTTCAATAGCAAACATGATGGAGAAGTGGACTTCTACAAATGTTGACCTAATCCAGTTCTTTCTTAACCTCTTCCCATGTGCGCTCTGTGTAGAAACGTTCCACAGTATGATGCCCCATGATGTGGTTACGTTTATAAAAGTTGTATTACAGAAGTAAAAGATGGCACCTGTGCCAGCCGTTAGATCTGTTACAATGCTCTATCAGGCAGCAGCTGCAGACAGATAAGACAATAAGCCTAATCAAACCAATCTCTATGGTCAGTGACTCTGGCTGTTAAATTGAAAAGCAGACTGTAAAAAAGGAAAACCTAAGTAAATAGAAAAATAAAAAAATTGTAGGCTGTTAAAGGGAACCGAGTAGGATATGTACTAAATGCACCAAATAATCATATTTAAACAAGTTAGGCATAAAGTTTATTAAGGTGTTAAATGATGCAAGCGGACAGATTTGCCCTGTACATTTATGCATCGATGGCCCATGGTTACGGGTTAAAGGTTTCCAAGGTTCTGCCCTCTGTTCATTCTAGCATGTCTACAATACAAAAATGATTTTGTCTAGAACCATCATCTGATCTTTCTTGCAAGTAGGTCACTTGCATCTTGAAAGATTGCATGTCCAAATCAAGTGGTGCAATCTAGTCCTTCAGAGCAAACGTCTTTCCACCTCCATGGTTCTTTCTCATAAGATTTGCAGGTCTTGATGTAGCAAACAAATTGGTGTGTATTGGAGGCCCATGTTGCATACTATAGGATGAGGAACACACCTCACCAGGTTTTTTTTTGTGGTATTAGCACAGTAAAGGCTTCTTTCTGGCACCTCGACCATGCAGCTCATTTTTGTTCAAGTATTGTTGTATCGTGCTCCTTAACCACCTCCCGCCCGCCATATAGTCCAATGACGGGCGCAAGGTGGTTCTCTTGTTCTGGGAGGACGTTATATGATGTCCTCCCATTCTCACCGCGCATGCGCTGCTCAGGGAGCGCGCAGCGCGCTGTGTCCCTTGGACACAGCGGATCCCCGATCACGGAAAGAGCCGAAGATGTCGGCTCGGTCATATGATCAGCTGTGTCCAATCACAGCTGATCACATGTAAACAGGGAAATGCCGGTTATCGGCATTTCTCTCCTATTGAGCTGTCACGCTGACAGCTCGAGAGGAGAGCCGGTAATCGGCTTTCCGCAGAGGGGACATGTACACTGGTCATCAGGGCACTGATGATCAGTGTAGCCCCAGCAGTGCCACCTGTCAGTGTCCATCAGTGCCTTGTGTCAGTGCTCATCAGTGCCTCGTGCCATTGCCCATCAGTGCCACATCAGTGCCACATATCAGTGCCTACCAGTGCACATCAATGCCACATATCAGTGCCCATCTGAGCTGCCTTGCAGTGTCACCCATCAGTGCCAGTCAGTGCCACCTATCAATGCCAATCAGTGCCACCTATCAGTGCTGTCAATCAGTGCCATCTATCAGTGCCAATCAGTGCTGCCTATCAGTGCCAGTCAGTGTCATCTATCAGTGCGCATCAGTGCCGCCTATTAGTGCTGTGTCAGTGCCACCTATCAGTGCCAGTCAGTGCCACCTATCAGTGCTGCCTTTCAGTGCCATATATCAGTGCCATGTATCAGTGCCATGTATCAGTGCCCATCAGTGATGCCTGTCAATGCCCATCAGTGCCACCTACCAGTGCCTCCTCATCAGTGCCCATCAGTGCCACCTATCAGTGTCCATCAGTGCAGCCTATCAGTGCCCATCACTGCAGCCTCATTAGCGCATATCAGTGAAGGATGGTTTTTGGTTTGTTTAAGAAAAAATAAAAATCCCAGAGGTGATTAAATACCACCAAAAGAAAGCTCTATCTGTCACAAAAAACTGATAAAAATTTCATATGGGTACAGTGTTGCATGACTGCACAATTGTCATTCAAAGGGCGACAGCGCTGAAAGCTGGAAATTGGCCTGGGCAGGAAGGGGGTATAAGTGCCCTGTAGGCTAGCGGTTAAAAAAAAACACTCCGTCTTTTTCCAGTGCAGCCTGTTTTTCTCTTGAGGTTACCTGTGGGCTTTTCTTTGTATCTCAAACAGTTCTCCAGGCAGTTGTGGCTGTAATCTTTCTTAGTCTACTTGGCCTTGGCTTAGTATCAAGAGATCCCCAAACTTTCCACTTCTTAATAAGTGATTGAATAGTACTGACTGGCATATTCAAGGGTTTGGATATATTTTTTATATTCCTTTCTATCTTTCTAAAGTCCCATTACCTTGTTACACAAGTCTTTTGATAGTTTTTTTCTGCTCCCCATGGCTAGGTATCTAGCCTGTTCAGTGCATCCACGTTGGAGCTAAACAAATACACAGACACTAATTGCAATTTAAAAAGCCACAGATGTGGGAAATTAACATTTGTGTCACCTTGTTTACCAAGGCCAAACATTCCAGGGGATGGAAACTTTTGATCAGGGCCATTTGGGTGATTTCTGTTATTATTATCATTTAAAAAGGAGTTAAAACAACTATGTGATAATAAATGACTTCGTATGATCACTATTCTTAAATAAAATACAGTTTTTTTGCATGATCAGTGGTATTTTCAATATTAATGCCAAAATTTCACAATTTCTGCCACGGTATGCTAACTTTTGAGCACAACTGTAAATATAAAAATGTAATTATATGCAACAATAATTAAACGTATATTTACTATATGAACATAACGAGGCCATTTTAATGTATCTCCTTTGAGGGAAGCAGTTGCTTATAGAATTTAAAGTGTTTCTAAACTCAAAAGCAAAAATTGTATATATTGCAGCTTATCAATCCTTAAAGGGTTAGTATACTCTTTCAGAAAAAATTAAAAGGTGAACCAACACCTTACACTCGCCCTACCCCCCTTGTCCCTGCTGTTCTGACCTCTGTGGGCAATGAGCTGTCAGTGTCAATGCAGGCAGTGTATTGGTTCAGGGATTTGTATGCTTCTTCTACTCTTCTACCTCTTTTTTGCAGGGATTCTGGGGTGGATCAGTGTAATTCTCTGTACCAGTGCTGACCAATCAGAATCACCTTGGTCTGTACTGAAAGCACAGCAGAAAGAAAGGGGAGAAGAGCGCAATTTCAAATCCCTGGGCCACTACACCTGCTGCATTGGCACTGACAACTCATCACCTATGGAGGTAAATACCGCGGGGACAGAGGATGGGAAGGGGTAGGTTGCTAATGTACTTTTCCTTTTTTCTGAAAAGGTGAACTTACTATTTAAGTGTAATGTGGTGCCTGCATTACCTTTCTTTTTTTAGAGTTTTTTTCTTGTATTTTCACCTGGTGTGTTCAGGGTCAATCATTCACCTGTAATTGCTGCATGAGCAATTACTGGCAAGTGGGTGCAATTAACTGCAGGAGTTGGCAGCCTCCCATTACTTTCAATGGGGCTGTCTCTTGCAGCTAATTAACGAAACCCCTATTGGGGTTCTCACATGTAATCAGACTGCAGGTGCGTTCACAAGTGTGAATGAACCCTGAATCTACTATTCCTTCTTATAACGCCCTCTTCAGACAATGCTGCTGTCCAAGGGTGTCTCCATTGCTTCTCCTTAGATAAGGTAACCACCATGACAAAACGAAGTGTGTTATTGGCCAGATCACCTAAAGAAAAAAAGTCTAAAGACAAAAAACTAATGCACCCACCACATCTAAGGACTGGTAAATTGCAATTTATTACATTTTTGTTTTTGGGTTTAAGGTATGCTTTCATTGCTTTATTTTGCCAATTTTTTACCTTTATTTTACATTACACTTAATTACAGTTATCAAAAGGTCTTAGCAGACCCCTGATGTCTCCACTTTCTGCTGGAGAAAGAAATCAAGGACACAGAGTCCTCAGTCTACTCCTCTGCCAGTCAACACAAAATTGTCACTGAACATGGAGGTGCTCATGAATCAATACTTATGCGCGGTTCTGCTCTCCATCCTGAAAAAAAAAGCCAACGATATGACTAGCAAGGCAGAGAATGTCAGTCTCATCACCAGCAATGAAAACAAAGCAGGCCACAGCGGTAGAGGACTGTGCAGGGCCACAGCAGCATCAATAGATGTGATCAATGGCTTGTTGATCACATCCATACATAAGAAAAGGGGAGAGCGCTGGACACCAGGGCCAGGAGGGGCAGCTGCCCTGCGTGCAATTATTTGACATGGGGGGTGGGGGGACCACGGGCTGAGCTGCACCCTCCTCAAGCTTGCTGGCCACCTCTGTAGTGCTCATACAGCCACCTTTCTCTGTGCCACTCACAGCCTGCAATTCCTGCTGCCATAAAACAAGAGCCCTATTCAAGGACTCATCCTGTTCCTGCATAAAACTATGGCCATCTGTCCATGGCCATGCCTATCCACCTGTAGTCAGTTACTATGGTGGGGGGCTGAATTGTATATATGTGTGGGAGGGACGGGGGCAGGAGGGCTGCATTGTATATATGTGTGGGAGGGGGCAGGGGGGCTGCATTGCATACATTTGCTTTAACACCATCAATAAACCAGTTTATTGGCATAATCCTAAATCCTCCAACACTGGACCAGAGGGGCACTTCATCATGTTACTGTGAAACATAAAGACCAAGTTCTTTGTGACTTACATGACTGAGAATTGGCTTATTGATAAGGATGTTTGATTGACTACATGGCTCTCACCCAGAATAAGCCAGGAGAATCTGTGTTGCTTGTGATTTTCTGTCACATTGAGTTAATGACTTTTACTGGGGCCCTGGACAGGTCAGATTGTGCTGCATAAGATTAGGAGAGAGAAATAACCATGCAAAGCTCTACAGCTGAGAACAGATGACAAAACACCATTGCTTTAGTAAATATACCAACCTAACGGAAATCCTAAATGTATTGCTGATGGTTGACGTCCTAAAGTTGAACACCAGGCAAACACAGATGTCATACGTATTAAGGAGCTATTTACCTGCCTAAGGACTTCTATTCCTGTACTTTATGTGCATTTTAATGCAGCACAACGCACATCACAACATATCAATACATGTCCTAGAGCTGGATGAAATGTTATTTTGTGGCATATCAATGAAATTGTAACACAATGTGAACAAATGTATCACAACACCCTCCACAAAGTACACAAGTGGACGCACACTATACCAGAGCATAACGCATGCCTGCTGAACAGGCCATAGCACTTAAAGGTCTCCTCCCCACCTCAAACCTGTGACTGGATAGAGAAAGGAGAAACTTGAGCTCATGAGCTTGATGAGCTCATCTCTCTATTACTCTGCCTTCTCCCTCTGTCAACATCTAAAGGAGGCTGATAGCAAGTCAAATACTTGTATTTAGCCCCGGCTCACATATGTGCGGTTCGGTACATCGTATGTGATTCGCACAGGAACCGCACCGCATTCCTGTGAACATCACATGTGAATTGTGTGCCGTGCGATTTGAGCCATACATTCTGTATGGCTCTAATTGCACCGCACCCGTACCAAAAAGGTGCAGGACCCTTTTTTTGCTCCACATTAGAATCGGATCGCATAGGTATTCACACCTAAGCGATACGATTCTGCACATCGCACCGCATTTTGTTTGATGATTTCGGGGTGTTGTTAACTTATCATACACACCCGCAGCAATTCGCATGAACAGGGTGTGATTCCGATGTGGTGCGGAATTCGCACAGAAACGCAGCGAATTCCGCATCACATCAGTGTGAACCCAGGCTTAAGCATTTAATGCTCAGATTAACTTTTAGGCTAAAGTTGAACATACAATATACAATCTGATTGTACAACCTCCCTTACTTTGTAATACAAGAGCCTGATTGATTGAATACAAATTGAATTAATTGTTTACGCCTATTATAAAGTTTTGGTAAAGTTTATTGTGCATAAACAGTGTATGTATTGCTTTGACAAATTATTCTTAATTTGACCTCTTCTATATACACCGATCAGCCATAACATTAAGATCACTGGCAGGTTAAGTGAATAACATTGATTATCTCAATATAATGGCATCTGAATGTTGGTAGGATATATTAGGATGTAAGTAAACATGTTATCCATGAGTGTGATATGATGAAAGCAGAAAAAGTGGGCATCGCAGATTGTTGTGTATGGAGCTGTGTAGCTGAAGAACAGTCAGGGTGCCCATGCTGACCTGTGTTCACAGCAAAAGCACCTACAATGAACACCTGAGCATCAGAACTGGACCACAGAACAATGGAAGGAGGTGGCCTGGTCTGCTGAATTACCGTATTTTTCGCTCCATAAGACGCCCCTGACCATAAGGCGCACCTAGGTTTTAGAGGCGAAAAACAAGAAAAAAAAATATTCTGAACCAATGGACTGCAGACAGTACAGGGGATGACCAGAGACTGTGGACATACTACAGGAGATGACCAGAGACTGCGGACACAATACAGGAGATGACCAGAGACTGCGGACACAATACAGGAGATGACCAGAGACTGCGGACACAATACAGGAGATGACCAGAGACTGCGGACACAATACAGGAGATGACCAGAGACTGCGGACACAGTACAGGAGATGACCAGAGACTGCGGACACAGTACAGGAGATGGCCAGAGACTGCGGACACAATACAGGAGATGACCAGAGACTGCGGACACAGTGCAGAAGATGACCAGAGACTGCGGACACAGTGCAGGAGATGACCAGAGACTGCGGACACAGTGCAGGAGATGACCAGAGACTGCGGACACAGTGCAGGAGATGACCAGACTGCGG